ATTTGAGTCTGTTTTATTCTGATGTGCCCCTTTATTCTCAAGGAGTGTAGAAAGATATTCTTAGTTAATTAAAGATTCATATTTGCTGATTCTGATTAATCAATGTTTTCTGGTACCAAAGGGTGATTTAAATAATTCTTAAATTTCTCTTATCTTCTAATATTTACCTGTTGTGTAAGATTTTATTGTAAGCAAGTTTTCAAAAGCAATACATATTTAAGCTATGTTAGAAATGAAACCCAAGCAATTAAACTGTAAATTAAGAGGCCCTCTGCTCTATGTGACCTCACACAAATCAGATCATCAATCAAAACCTCAGTTCCCCCTCTAAAAATGGCATATCTGATTGGTCTACAACTAGAATCTTGACAAAGAGCTTGGATTTTATTGAATAAAAGACTTCTATAAATATAATCTTGATATTTTACTAATGTTAATTGGCTCCAGATTGTAGAGCTGACATTATGCTGACCCTAGGACTACCCTCAGGTCACCCATTCCCAATCAGGAGCTTCTTTGTCTACAAAACTGTTTCAACAACCGCATCACTTAATGGTGGCTTAAATTTGTAAATACTTTCTCTCAGTAATCACAAAGCCATATCCAGAAATATCATTAGTAGCTGTATTTGCATCTATTAAATGTAGATTAAGAGGATTTTATTTTAACAAGGTTTTATTTACCAACTAATTAGAATGACAATTTATTACAAGTATGAAAATAATTAACTTAGAATTATTCAAGTAGTGCAGTTCTTCTGGTTGTAAGATAAAAATAAAATCATTCTCCCACTCAATCAATGGGCCTTGTTTGGAACAGGTACTTATATCAGACATTGTTATTAATTTCACATATTCACCTACTCTTTATTTTCCCAGACATTTGAATTCTAGTGCTGTTTATTTCATAAAGGCCTTTTAAAGACAAATTCACTCTGTATCAAAAGCAGTTGTTTAAATCAGCATTCAATTCTGACTGCTTTGCTCTTGATACTTTTCATAGCAGCAGCTGGGAGAGCACTTTACCATCAGTCATGGCTTTTTTTTGTTTGTTTCCTCTAATCAAAGTATATGTTCTACAATAAGCATTGCCCTGCAAATTTTTTTCCTCATGTTTGATAAATGTGATCTACATATAATTAACAACAAACAGATAAAATCCTGTTTCTCCCTTTTAAAGCAGGGGAAAGTTATTACTTGATTTCCATCGTGTAGCAGTCAATGCTGTCTTGATATTAGTCTTTTGCCAAGTGTCAGTAAAATAACAAATAAAGCTTCTTTACTGCTATGATGATTTGACCATTAGCAAACCAAGAAGAAACTTACTTAACTTGAAAATATAATGTTTAGAAAGCACAACAGAAACTGACTATACATTCCAACCTCAAATGTTTTCAAAGATAACTTCATCCTTTTCATTCTTACATTTAAAAATATCTATTGTCTTAAGATAAAAGAGCCACAAAACCCCAAGATGTAATCCCTGCTTCGGGCTAATGACAAAAAATATTTTTTATTTTTAGTTCACATCCTGAAAAAAATTCCCTTGACAGAAAATGTTCTGAACTAGATTCTGAGAGGCAAACATTTCCTTTACTAAAGTTTTTCCGGATGACAAAAGGAGAGAAGAGGGGTCAAAAAAGAAACATAAAAGTTCACCTAAAATAGATCAGCTTCAAATGTTAAAATACTTTTTAGTACATTAAACAGCTTTTAAATTTCAAATTTTATACTATAAATACTTGAATCACAGAACACCTTACCCTGATACACCCGGCATTAAAATAGTCTCATATTTATTTCTAATCATGTCACTGAACTGCTACTGTTTCCTGGGCTGCAAATAAATGATTTATTCATTATAGTGTGACACAGTTATGTATGATTGATTGGTATAAAATAGAAAGGGACTTTGTCCTCCACAGGAGTTTTGAACAGGGCCTGTCCAGTGCATGCTGTCTGTCCATCTGGAGCTACCCAGCTAAATTACTGCTTGCCCTTCTGGTAATGGACTCAGTGGATTTTTCACAGCATAATTTCCATTCTGCAAAAAATTACTAATCCCAATTGATTCTGTTTTAAGGCATTTCTAGATTCCAATTCATTATAATACAACGACCTCTACCTTACCTTAGCCTTTTCAGAATCTCATCACGGTTTTTCAAGTTCCAAGAAAAAAAAGGCAGGCAGGCAATTTTTGTTTGTTTGTTTGTTTAAAAAAAGAAACTACTACTATTGACAAAACAATGATAGAATAGAAATCATTCTGACTGTAAATACCTTAAAGCTTTTCTTTACTTTTCCTCCCATTTCAATAATTAGGCCAGGGAAGGAAGAAAGGAATTTCTAGGCCAGTGGTCATGCTCCACATCCTATGATTTTGTCGCTGTTTTTCCCTTAGCGTAATAGCTCCATTAATCAGCAGAAAATTTTGCAGCAAACTATCTATACATTTTAATATTATCCTCAGTGGAGTACTGAGAGTTATAAAGTTGCTTCTCAAAGAACTTGAGTTACATTAAAGAACTATGGTGGCAAGCCACAAACCTCAGAGCAGTATCAGTGTTACTTTGGGTTAGTTTGCATTTTGATCATAGTTAAGTATACGGAAAATTTAATGACTTTACTTAATGAATGGACATTCGTTGAAAAATTGCCTTTCTGTATAGCCAAAGTCTTACTTCCAGAGTAACTGAATTCAGTCTGAGACATATTTTTACCCAGATAAGTTCAGTTAATTTTCCTACTTATGAGTTTTGTGACTAATTCTTAAAAAAAAACCTAAAAAAAGACTTAATCTACTCCTAATATTTTATCTTGATGTGCAGTTTAGTTTCACACACTGTGATTTCTATCGATTGCTGTATTTCCTTTGTTTCAGATAACTTGTTCCTTTAATTACATTGATTCTAATAGTTCAGTTATTTTGGCTGGTATCATACGGATACTGCTTTCTATTACTCTACTATGCAGTGCTAAAATAATTATTTGATTATACGAAAATGAGTTTAAATCTTAAATTATGCATTTTAAGCATTTTAAAATAATAAATGTACTGAACCTTCAGTTTTATTCTCAAATTCAATGCATTTGAATACTGATTCTGTTACTGAATATTTAATCTAGATATTCTATATGACACACATGTGAAAGAACAGTTGTATCGGTAGCAGTTTATTCTGCATATATGCCATTGTGTTAGTAATTCAAATAGGTGCCCGATCTCTAGTTCGCATTAATATTTTAGCTATGAAACCAATAATGGGCAAAAATTACTGGTAAGTGGAAAAGGCTTTATGTGTAAATTCTGCATATTAAATATATATAACAATAGAGATTCATAGGACTTAGAATGCGGGTAGACAAATAGACTAAAATAAGACAGAACTGAGGTCATGACAAATCCCAATAACCATTTCCCACTCTGTATTTGCATATAAAATAGATTGCAAATTCTCTGCCACCATTCATTTTTTTCTTCCTAAGCAAAAATAATTGATTACTAATTTCAATATTAAAAAAATAAAATTAGAAATTACCTTTGAAAATTGCAAATTATTTAAACACATGGCAATTGCTATATATCCTGAAGGAGAGTGTTTCAACTTTGCTAATTTCTGAAAAATGAGGGTGTTAACATATACAAAAAAAGCTATGTCTAAATAAGACTTGCTCTGAAATAAGACTTGCTGAGGCTCTGCTCTGAGATTTAGATAAACCTAAGTATTCTACCTTAACATTAATAGATAAATGAATTCAACTACAACCACAAAAGAAAGCATGGTTCTAACATTAGCCCTCAGTATTTTGAAATATATCCCCAAGTAAGTTTTCTTCCTTTCCCTAACCTACTCCAATCTAGGGCCTTGTTGAATTGTTGCAATACACTTTTATTTTTATTTGTGATTTTTAAAAATTTCCAGAGGTTATTGGGGAACAGGTGGTATTTGGTTATAAGTTCTTCAGTGGTGATTTGTGAGATTTTGGTGCACCCATCACCTAAGCAGTATACACTGCACCCAATTTGTAGGCTTTTATCCCTCACCCCCTTCCTACTCTTTCCCCGAGTCCCCAAAGTCCATTGTGTTACTCTTATGCCTTTGCATTCTCATAGCTTAGCTCCCACTTATGAGTGAGAACATACTGTGCTTGGTTTTCCATTCCTGAGTTACTTCACTTAGAATAATATTCTCCAGTCTCATCCAGGTCATTGTGAATGGCATTAATTCATTCCTTTTTAGGCTGAGTAGTATTCCATCATATATATATATATATATATATATATATATATATATATATATATATATATTCATTCCACAGTTTCTTTATCCACTTGTTGACTGATGGGCTGGTTCCACATTTTTGCAATTGCGAATTGTGCTGCTATAAACATGCATGTGCAAGTATCTTTTTCATATAATGACTTCAGGAGTAGCTATTCTTATATCAGTCAATACACTTTTAGACAATAGACTTTCTGTCTAGTCAGAAATGGAACAGCAGAAAGATAAGTGATGTTGGAAATTTGGTAGCAACACTAAGTATGATCTAACCCTAACTACACTGTTTGCAGTTGCAGTGTTTCAGGCGACCAGAGAAAATGAATCCTGATGGCTGTTAAGGAGATTATATACCTCATTATCCACTGGGGATTCATATCTCCATGGATAATTTGTTTCCTTATAACCAACATTGGCATTAACCACAAAATGGCTTCAGGTGCCCCAGACTTTATGGGCACACAGTGAAAAGTAGGAAAACTTTTACACATGAAGGTCCTCAGAGGAACTCTGTCAACAGACATTTTATGATTAGAGAAGAATTACAATGAAAGCAAGCACCTTTGTTAGTGGAAGAGGCACCAACATAACTGGGCCAATAAACTGAATGTTTCTTCCTATGTGTGTTTCATTGGACCCAAGGTAAGCTACAACAAAAAAATGAAAAGTATAGTGTATCAGTCCGTTCTTGCATTGCTATGAAGAAATACCTGAGACTGGGTGATTTATAAAGAACGCAGGTTTATTTGTCCCATGGTTCCGCAGGCTGTACAGGAAGCATACTGACTTCTACTTTTAGAGAGGCCTCAGGAAGTTTCCAATCATGACTGAAGGCAAAGCGGGTGTGAGACATCTCATATGGTGGCAGCAGGAGCAAAGTGGATTAAGTGCTATACACTAATAACCAGATCTCAGGAGAACTCACTCACTATGGCAAGGACAGTACCAAGAAGAATGGTGCTAAGGTATTCATGAGAAACCCACCCCCGTGATCCAGTCACTTCCTATTAGGGCCCACCTCCAACAGTGGGGATCACAATTCAACGTGAGATTTGGGCGTGGACACAGATCCAAACCAAATCATATAGATTAGAAAGAACAGGACAGCTTGAGGTTCAGGGGCATATAAGAAGCCTGGGAGCACGGTATCTACTTCTTCTCCTTTTCCTTCCTTTTAGAAACAAAATCAAACCACAGAAGAACTCTTAAAATTTGAGTAACAAGACAAAAATTACCTTAAAGGACTAACACACCATTTCTAGATATTAACAATTTGAATATTTTAAACCTCGTATTTTCCACAAGGATCTGTTGTAACATGTACCATTCACATATGTATCACTAAGATTTGATTCTAAGATATTCTGATCAAATCTCAGATGGCTGATCAATTCTCTGTAAGTTATTTGCTTTCCTGAAGATATTTCTGTGCCAATGTCTGAAAAGAAAACATAGTAATTACTCACGAGGAAAAGTAAATTCTTAATAAAAGAACTACATAAAATGTACCTAAATTTAATATGACAGTAAATTCTGGGCATTTCTTAATTATATTTTTGAATGCTTCTATAAAAAATATAAATTCGAACATAACTTATTGAAACATTTTTGAACAAGAAAATGGTTACATAAAATAAACACGTAACAACATGCAATGTATCAAATTAAAACTACATTTTAAGACAGTTTAAAGCTATTCGTGCCTTTCACTAAAATAGAGTATAGCAAATACTGTGTTCATTTTATAAACAACCAAAGTAAGAGGTTAAAGCAATTTAAAGTGCTCCTACACAATCTGAAAATACGTTTCCAATAACTGAATTCAAGGTTTTTGAGATCATACAAATATGCAATAAGAAAGTTTTAGGATCAAATATAGTAAAAGTATAATTTATGCCTATCAAAAACAAAAAGCTTTTAAGGCATTATGATAGTTAAATTTCCTTCAGTGCATTAATCCTCTAATAACAGTTTCAGTCAAGGAAATGTTATGAGGTCAGATCTGAAGTTTTTTTAACTTAGTTTGAAATCATACATATTCTCTTTGAATATAATTTGCTTCGTGTAGCACCTAACTCTCCAGGAACTCAAAACACTTCATAGATTTATATCCTGATCTTAGTTATCTTCATTACTGCTTTTTTGTTTTTTGTAGCGGGATGAAACACTAGTTCAGTGATTTGTACACCAGTAAAACCAGTCTTACCAGTAGGTAAAAAAATGCTGAACAAAAGTTAAACAATCAATGATAACTTACCAACTCTAAAAATTCTATTTCTGTTTGGAGAGCTTCATAAACACTTTCCATGTCATCTTCCTTATAAAGTTCTAATTCTTTTTTAAGTCTATTTTAAAAGAAAATTTCACCTATTAGTTTAATAATAAACTGTAATTTTATTACTGTACAGAGAGGGACAAGCTTATAGCTTCTATAATCAGAATTTCAAGACTAAATAATTTGCATATTTTAATTGTCTATAATTCCATGAAGACTATGTAAAATTTCGTGGTAAAAATTTTCATAAAGAAATTAAGGTAGACTCACTAATAGACATTTAATATTTTTGTTGTTGTTGTTTTTTGAGAGGGAGTCTTGCTCTGTCATCCACACTGGAGTACAATGGTGTGACCTCTACTCACTGCAACCTCTGCCTCCTGGGTTCAAGCACTTCTCCTGCCTCAGCCTCCCGAGTAGCTAGGATTACAGGCACCTGCCACCACACTCAGCTAATTTTTGTACTTTTAGTAGAGATGGGGTTTTGCCATGTTGGCTAGGCTAGTCTTGAACTCCTGACCTCAAGTGATCCACCTGCCTGAACCTCCCAAAGTGCTGGGATTACAAGCATAAGCCACCATGCCCAGCCGACATTTAATAATTTTATCATAACTAAAAGAGCAACATGAGCTGGTGGATAGCATATATATAGTACTATGTCTTAACATCTGTTTGAGTCCTGGCCACTAGCAAACTGAATAAGCTTAGTTGAAACATTTAGCTTCTCTGAACCTCACCTGAAAACTTTTAAGTGTAGGAAAAAAAATGACCCTTGAGCTTTCTTCTTGATGTAAAATTAAACTATAACTTTATAATATACATGCATAATTAAAATATACCTTAATTTGGGAGTGAGAAAGCAACATCTTTCTTTTCCCCAATTAAGTTTCCTTTCTCCAATTAAGTCTTTAATTTTTTGAATATTTTGAATTTTTTAACATGAAAAAGCACATAAATTTTATTAACATGCATTGGGAATCACAAAAGAAAAGGTTGGTTAGAACTGAAGAGGTTAGATTCAGGTTTATTACCCTCTTAATGAAGGAAAGAGGGTTTGGAGTTGGTAAAGTTTACGAGAGACTGTCGTTTGACATGATCAAACCAAAACGGAGTTTCTGGAGCTAGGTGCCACGTGATCTATCTTGAAAATGGGTCAGTTTCCCAAAAAATAGGAGATTCATAGCAAACAATCTAAAGGGCTTGAACCAACATAAGGCAGTCTCCTCTGAATTATGACTGTAAGAAATGAACTTTGAAATGATTCTAGAAAAATCCAATTAAATGTTTATACTGTTTTTTTTGTATCTTTGGTTTTTCTTTTTTATCAGACTTTTAAAGGAACTACACTATATGGAAATATATGGGTGTAGTAATGGAAGATAAGGGCTATTTTTATTAAAATCTATTTATGCATACTCATCTTGGTATTGGCTCTGTCTTCAATGGTAACAGTAATTCCTCTCTCCCTGGTATTAGAGTGTCACCCTTCTCATGCCTTACTTTTAAGCAGATAGAGCCTAAAAGGGTAGATAATTTTTCCTGTATTTATTGAATATCAATTGCCAAGATAATCCTTAAGAAAATGTGGCATAATTTCAGGGTGGTATATTCTGGTCCCTTCAAAGCAGCTCCGATAGGCAATAGAAACAATAAGTTTAAACAAAGAGTCAACAATTGTACTAATATCATACAAGTTTGATGAGTACAAATGTGCTCTGGAAATTTATTGCCAAATCAGCATGGACTTTGAGGAATTTTTTAAAAATTATTTTATGCCTGTATTTAATGTGGAAAATAGTAAAAATAAGTCTTCCATTTTTGCCATTATGACTAACGTTTTTTCCTGAAAAGAAAAACATAAAAGCTAGGAGCTGTGATTGAAGAGGTACAAAGCTAGAGGCTGGAATTGGGCAGCTAGGAGGTTAAAGCTGCCCTGAGAGGAGATATGAGGAACATTGCTCTCCCAAACCTAAGCAACTCCTGGGCCAGCAACAAGGTGAGAAATATAGATCGACTTGAACCTTTGCTGAGCCCTGACCCTCAAGGGGAAGCGGAAGGAGTTGTAAGATCAGTGGCATTTCCTGGATACCAGCAGATGCAAAAGAAAAATCTCTATGACTGCACAGTATTCCATGGTGTATATGTGCCACATTTTCTTTATCCAGCCTATCATTGATGGGCATTTGGGTTGGTTCCAAGTCTTTGCTATTGTGAAGAGTGCCGCAATAAACATATGTGTGATGTGTCCTTATAATAGAATTATTTATAATCATTTATAATCCTTTGAGTATATACCCAGTAATGGGATTGCTGGGTCAAATGGTATTTCTAGTTCTAGATCCTTGAGGAATCGCCATACTGTCTTCCACAATGGTTGAACTAATTTACACTCCCACTGACAGTGTAAAAGTGTTCCTATTTCTCCACATCCTCTCCAGCATCTGTTTCCTGACTTTTAATGATCACCATTCTAACTGGTGTGAGATAGTATCCCGTTGTGGTTTTGATTTGCATTTCTGTAATGACCAGTGATAATGAGCTTTTTTTCATATGTTTCTTGGCTGCATAAATGTCTTCTTTTGAGAAGTATCTGTTCATATCCTTGGCCCACTTTTTGATGGGGTTGTTTTTTTCTTCTAAATTTAAGTTCTTTATAGATTCTGGATATTAGCCCTTTGTCAGCTGGGATGAGTTCATGTCCTTTGCAGGGACATGGATGAAGCTGGAAACCATCATTCTCAGCACACTAGCACAAGAACAGAAAACCAAACACCACATGTTCTCACCCATAAGTGGGAGCTGAACAATGAGAACATGTGGACACAGGGAGGCGAACATCACACACCAGGGCCTGTCAGGGGTTGGGGGGCTAGGGGAGAGACAGCATTAGGGGAAACACCTAATGTAGATGACGGGTTGATGGATGCAGCAAACCACCATGGCACGTGTATACCTATATAACAAACCTGCATGTTCTGCACATGTACCCCAGAACCTAAAAGTATAATAATAATAAGAAAATATTCTCTAAAGGAAACCTTAACAAATTTAGACCCACAGGCCTCTCATAGATTGAGAACAATGAGTTTGCAGCAAAATTTCGTGAAGCACCCAACAAGGAAAGCCATTATAAAGTAAAAGCAGAGACACGAAGCAATAGATTACACCAGGTTATTCACAAAACTACAGATTATTCACAAAATAAAATGTCCAATGGCTAATAAAAATAGGAAATGGTATTAAATTTCACTCTAAATCCAGGAAATACAAAGAAAAGCATAAGGAAATACCATTAAACATTCACCAGAATAACTAAAATGAAAGATAGGCAATATCAGGTATTGATAAGGATATGAAGAAACTACAACTTCCAGACCACTAGCACAGGATATTGCTTTCCATTCTTTTTTAACCTATCTACATCTTTATATTTAAAGTGGGTTTCTTGTGGAAACCATATATTTGTGTCTTACTCTTTTATCTAATGTAATAATCTTTTACTTGGTATATTTAGACCATTTTCATTTACTATAGTTATTCATATGGCTGAATTTAAAATATAAGACTTTTCTAATCATTTTCTATTTGTTCTATCTGTGCTTTGCTCTTTTAATTCCCTCTCTTTCTACCTGCTTTTGGATTTAATAATTGCATTTTATCTCCTCTATTGACTTATTATTTATACTTACTGTAGTCCCCCTTTATCCATGGGGGCTACATGCTCCAATACTCTCAGTGGATACCTGAAACTGTAGACAGTACTGAACCCTCTATATGCTATGATTTTGCCTATACATCTATACCTATGATAAACTGTAATTTATAAATTAGGCACAGAAAGGGATTATTAATACCTAATAATAAAATAGAACAATTATGACAATATACTATACTAAAAGCTATATGAATGTAGTCTCTTTCTCTCAAGATATCTTATTGCACTGTAGATCTTAGCAACCTCAGCATACAGTTTTTTTCCTTTCCTTATTAAGTCAAAAACTTTCATCTTTTCACTTACAGGAAGCACTTTACACCTTCTTTTGGGCATATATGCATTGCCAGCATCACTACTCCTGTGATTTGGGCCCATCATTAAGTGCAATAAGGGTTACCACAAAGACTGTGATTGCACAACAGTCGATATGATAACTCAGATGGCTACGAAGTGACTAGCATGCAGGTAGCATATACAGTGCAGATACACTGGACAAAGGGATGATTTACGTCCACGGCAGAATGGAGCAGAACTGCACAGGAGTTCATCATGCTACTCAGAATGGTGTGCAATTTAGAATTGTTTATTTATGAAATTTTTCATTTAATATTTTGGAACCATGGGTGAATGTGGGTAACTGGAACTGCGGAAAGAAACTGCAAATAAGGGGGGACTACTGTATTTTTTAAAAGTTGTAATGCTTGCATTTGGGTTAACACACATCTTCACTTTATTGCTGTATACTTTCAAATAGTATAACACTGCTTTACTTGGCCGGACCACAGTGGCTCATGCCTGTAATATCAGGACTTTGGGAGGCCAAGGTGGGCAGATCACTTGAAGCCAGGAGTTCAAGACTGACCTGGCCAACATGGGGAAAACCCGTCTCTACTAAAAATTCAAAAATTAGCCGGGTGTGGTGGCACACGCCTGTAATCCCAGCTACTAAGGTGGCTGAGGCATGAGAATAGCTTGAACCCCACAGGCGGAGGTTGCAGTGAGCCAAGGTCGTGCCACTGCACTCCAGTCTGGGTGACAAAGAGAGACTCTGCCTCAAAAAAATAAAAATAAAATAACACTTGCTACACTTACAGGATAAGAAACTTAAAACAGTTTATTTCCAATTTCTCCCTCCCATTTTTTGTTAGGTCACCATCACACATTTTTCTTTTTACATATGCTATAAACCTAAAATATATTCCTTTTTGCTTTTATCATTTATTTGTTACATCAATTAAAAGTGAAAAAGGGGCCTTTATATTTACCTTTTCATTTTCAATTTTATATTTATCTTCATTATCTTTAATTAATTAATTTATTTTTAAGTAGAGATGGGGTCTCTCTATGTTGCCTAG